GGAGGGAAGGAAAAAAATGAGGAGCTGATACCAAGGGCTCAAGTAGAAAGAAAATGTTTCGAGAATGATGATAGCAACAAATGTGCTTGGATGTATGTATGTATGGTGATGAGAGTTGTATAAACCCCTAATTAAATGATCAAAAGTAAAAAATTTTAAATGATTTTAAAAATTAATTAAAAAATAAATACAGAAAAAAGTCTTCTGACACATCAAAACTTTTGCAGTCTCAATCTCTCCCCCTAAGTAAACTCTGAAAATATTAACTATCTCAAATAATTTCTCTTTAAAAAATATACTTAAGCAGATTAGAAAATAAAAACAAAACTTAATGCCATGAAGTTGATGCCAACTCAGAGCAACCCTATGGGACAGAGCAGAGGGTTTCAGCGACTAGACTTTTATGAGAGCCAACAGCCTCACATCTGTCTCCCTTGGAGCAGCTGGTGGGTTTGAACAGCCAACCTTGTACTGCCTAACCCAAGGTTCCTAACAGTCTAATCACCATGCTGAATTACAGATGGTGATACTGAAGCTCAGAGCAACTGTGTATCATCTGAAACATGCTGAAGGACCATGCTAATAGTAAGAGTTATCCTGACCAAATATGTCTTCCTTTATACCTCACTGAATAAACAGCAAACAGTTAATAAAACACATCAACTCTGCCCAGGTGAAATAATGTAGTAGTGCATCGGGAAGGAACAAGCACTGCAAACACAGATTGGCTTGGATCCTGGCTCCACCTCTTGTCCACTGTGTGAGCGTGGCTAAGTCACTAGACCTGCCTGTGCCTTATTTACTTACCTGCCATGTTAGCAGGACCACCAGCATAATATCAGGATAGGCAAGGTTGTTGAGAGGATATTAAATGAGTTAACACACCCAAGCAATTGGAAAAGGGCTAAGTAAAGTACATAACAGGGGGAGAGTGAGATTAAAGAATTACATTATCGGGGCTGGTGGTGGATCCAAACCCACCACCTTAATAAAAACCAGAGCAATGCTAGGTTTGATGGGCAGGAAGAGCATGGAGAATCAATGCTCTGCTGTTATCACTTTACCTTCAACCTACAAAGAAGCCACCTCTCCTGTGGACTAACGGAGGAGAAGAGAAGGCCCAGAGAGAAATGGTTTTGGGGTCTGCACATCTGGCAATTTGTGAAGACATGACTGAACCAGCACAACCTGGTAACACTGGCTCTGAGGCGACATCATCTGAAAGAGGCCACAGGCTTTTTGTTTCAAACACCGGACAGTATCTCCTCAGTCCAGTTCAGTGGATATCAAACGGGGGTTCATTAACGCCAGTTATTTCATTTCCCTTTAGAGCAGCGGTTCTCAACCTGTGGCTCACGATCCCTTTGGGGGTAGAACGACCCTTTCACAGGGGTCATCCAATTCATAACAGTAGTAAAACTACAGTTATGTAGTCGCAACGAAAATAACTTTATGGTTGGGGGGGTCACCATAACATGAGGAACTGTATTTAAGGGCCGCAGCATTAGGAAGGTTGAGAACCACTGCTATAGGCTATGCAGAGATACCAAGAGGGAGGAATATAGAAAATAAGTTAATCATGAGTATTCAAAGTGGCTAACTTATTTTTTACCATATTAGACAAGGTCTTGAAACTTAAAAGCCATCTGAATTTCCAAGAAGTACAATCACTCTGAAGAAATTAAATATCTGAATTAAATTTGTCACCCAGAGGCCAACAAATGCATTCCTCAGAAAGAAGCGTGTGTTGCAGAGCGCATTTCTGACTGCGCGCTCACTCTCCCTTTCTCGGATGACACTATTCATTTTTACTTCCTGGACCCAAGGTTCCCATCCTGAGCCTCTGGATGGTTCATGGGGGCTGACCGTTTCCTTCTGCCCTGGAGGTGGGCATGTGATACAAGCGAGGCTCCTCACAGTGAATGACTCAAAGCTAGACCACATGACTCATTTTCTGGTAAGTAGCGTCTGCCCAGGATGCTTCGCGGGACAATTGTGAAAGAGATGCACTTTAGGATTTTAAAAACCAGTGGCCCCCAAGTCTGTCTTCCACCAGTTCCAATGGGAAAACCCAAACATGAAGCCTACAGTGAAAAGCACTGTCAACAAACATTCAATATTCACTGATCTTGTCTAATATTCATCTGAATCCAGCTGTGGTTGAAGCTAGCGACACCATTGGATTTCTTAAAGGCAGGAGCCGATACTATCTTCCAAGCTTTTTCACTTTGATTAAGCTAATGGAAATTGGGTTGCTGTCACTTGTAAATAAGTCTGTAAGCAAGCCCAGTCAACAACAAAGTACAAGAAATTAAGCCAGCAAGAGTGAAAGGTTCCTAGTGGCCATCCAGATTCCACTGAGCAAACATGAATTGAGAACAGGTCACGTCATGTGTAAGCCACAGTGAGCTGATATGTGGTCGCATATCCTTAAATTATAAGCTGGTTTTCTTAAAGGTATCAAATCTAGATCCTAATTCTTAGGAGCTTATAAAAATAGAAGATTGCTAGTTCTAAAAGTCATTTGAAATTCTGCTGTCTTTGCTGAGGTGTACCCAAAACCAAACTCATGGTCATTGAGTCAATGCCAACTCATCGGACCTTATAGGACGGGGCACAGCTGCCTTTGTGAGTTTCCAAGACTAGAACTCTTTTCAGGAGTAGAAAGATCAGTGTTTCTCCGGTCAACAGGCTGGTGGTTTAAACGGCTAACCTTGTCACTAAGCAGGCCCAGGAGTAAATTACTACAACACCAAGGATTCTTTGCTGAGTTATCCCATATAGATACATACACACACACACACATACATACATACATACATACGTGTATAAGAATCCCTGATGGCATAGTGGTTAAATGGTTGGGTGCTAAAACACGAGGTCAGATGTTTGAAACCACTAGCCGCTCCTCGGTATTTTCTATCATCATATCAGCTGCTACAAGTCGACACTGATTTGATGGCAGTGGGCCTAGCTTTTTGGAGTTTTTATACACATAAATATGCATACATATTTCTATATGAGGAAGCCCATCCACGAGATGAGTCAACAGTAATGGGCTCACACACAGCACTGATGATGAGGGCTGACTGGTGCAGGACTTGGCACTGTTTACTCAGGTTCTGCACAGAGTCATTGGGAGTTAGAACGAAGGCCCACAACATCATTATGTAACATACAGGTGTGTGTGTGTGTTTGTATGTGTGCCTCTATTTTCCTATCTCTCTATCTTTCTCTCTTACCAGCTACATAATTTGATCTACGAATTTAGATTGGGGTAGAAATAGTTACTTGTGTGAAATTAACAAAATGGGTCAGAATTAGCCTCTTCCCCCTCAGACTCTAAAACTGACACACCATAGAGTGTTGCAGCAACTTCAACTTTATAGTTTACTATAAAAATGAACTATCTTCAGATGATTATCGGCAATTCTACAGAGGAGGGAATGGGCTCTAAGACATGTGTCGACCCTCACATGGAAGCATAATCCCTCTGGTGTAGACTGTTCAAGCTCTGGGTTGATAAGCATAAGGCTGTCAGTTCAAATCTACCAGCTGCTCTTCAGAAGAGATGTTCTACAGATTTACAATCTTGGAAACCCTATAGTGCATTTCCACTCTGCTTTATAGGGTTCTATGGGTCAAAATTGACTCTACAGCTGTGGGTAGCACTGATGCTAAAGGAGAAACCAGGACTTAGAAGTGGTTTCTGCCATTTTCCCGACTTACTATACAAATATGATTAGGCAAATAATCAGGATATAACCAAGATTCTATAATAAGTGATTTATAACCCCCCAAAAGCTGAATAGCTTACCTAAACCAAATAAACTCTCCACACTTGATATTAGACATCTCTTTTAGAAGAGTTTTAAGTACCTAAGCTTTCAATGTCCACATAATGCTGGAAGCAAAACCTTGGAGCTGGGAACCTCTGAAATAGATCCACAGGCTTCTACTCTCTAATCACAAACCTTTATGCACCCAAACCATTTGCAAATAACACCAGACAGACCTCTCAGGGAGGCTTTACTGGAATATTTGTATCCAAGTTCATAAAAGTAGATTCAGAATCGATCCCAACAATATAAAGACCATGCAAAACCAGAGACCTGCACATAAATGGGCTTTTGTAGGGTTTGAGAGAAAAGCTAGGGGAGAGGTCCCCACTGCCAATTTGTAAAAAAATGGGCATCTAAAATATCCATGTTATACACATGCAGTATTTGATTATTAAAAACCATGTGTCATGAAAGATTATATTGTGGCAAGAGGTCATTCAATCTTATGAGTGTATATGTGGCATCAAAAATGCAGGTCAGTTTAGTCTAATTTTTCTTTCTCATTGACCAGGTGCCATAGGAAAGGGAAGTATTAAGAGGTAGTCTTAACAGAGTCTTGGGTTCCAGCTCTGAGGAGATGAACTTATCACCTGCTTATATAGATACTATTTCAATGTTGCATATCCAAATGGAATAAACCTTAAGGTTTAGTCATACTCTAACACACCGTAGAAATGAAATTTAGTCCCATTCTTTCTATAAGGACAAGAATTTGAACCAAAGTCCACACCAGCACCAAATCCACACGTCTTGCGTTTTCCTCTGTTTATGCAGTCATCTGTGTAACAACAAAGGGGCCAACCACCACAAGCTGCAACGGGCTGGTTAATTTTACAAAATGAAACCTCAACACTGACTTAATATATAGGACAGCTGAACAGAAACTAAATTAGGCCGAGTTTAATAGTGAGATAACTGAAAACAAACAACCAAACAAAGACCCCTACCATTTAAAAACATGGGTACTTATATGCTCCTCCTAACAACATGGGGACCCTCGGGGCCTTTGTAAGGACTCTTGAGGACATAAGCCTTATGACTGATTCAGGGCCCACTCTCAGAAAGGAAGGGGAACCCTTCCCCAAGCAAGCCTTGTACCAAGAAGCAAAGGAGGTGAGCCATGACTATGACAAAGAAGTAAACCAGCTCCATTCTTACTTCAGAAATGATGGGAAATCTTCGCACACTGCTTCACAGCCTGGCCACTTGCACACACCGTGCCCGTAGAGAGGGTGGCTGTGGGGGTGCTCCTCGTGGGACAGACTGAAAGAAAAAACACAGACGACAAGAACATCAATTTGCTGCCAAGAACCATCCCACCAGGCCAGGCAGCCCACACACCCAAATGAGGACAACAATGACCGCGAGGTGTTCTTTGATCAGGGAACTGACTCACTCAGTCTTTACTGCAATTCAAGGCTCAGAGTGAGACTGAGCCCAAGTATACGGTCAAGAGCAGAAAGGGGACAACAGCATTCAGAAGAGGGCTGGGCAGGTTCTTGTGAGATACAGAGTTCTTGACTCAGACTTCACGGATTTCCTGACCAAACAGAATGCATCACCTCATCTAAGATAACGAGAACTTAAACCATCTGCACTCCAATTTGAGACCTTCTTGCCGTGCTTTTACCCAGAACATTGCTTCTTTCCTCTTCCCTTCCCCCAGAAATTGCTTCCATATTATCACATGCTATATTATTAATCTTTTCACAGTTAACTTTATCCAGCCAAGAAGAACACATTTATAAAGAATGTGATAAAATAACTTAGAAAGATAAATACATCCAAGTAAATGATAAGTTTAAAAACAAAACAAAAGCTAATAGTGGTAAGAAGTGCTGAAATTATTAATGTTAAGCATTCAGGAAGACCCGGTGGTTGGTGAGAGGAAGGGGTTAACCCACTAGTCTAGGGCTCCAATCAATACGTAATGATTCAGCTACATGGATCCAGGTCATGGGATGCTTTGATCTGGGCCACATGTGCTTTCGGAAGTGTTATGTGTGTTGCACTAGCTCATGAACCATTTCTCTATTAGATTTCTGTAGCCAGACTTCTTTCAGACAAATTATTTTTACAGTCGTTTCCCCAACCTTAGATTCCATCCAATAGAAGTGTAAAACTAACACTGAGAGTTCTGTTTGGTACACAGGCACATTCCCTTCGCGGGCAGTGTGAATTTTGTAACTTATTCCACTACTAGCGCTGCCCAACTTTAAACTTCAAGCACATGAATTATGAAAACACGCGCGCGCGCGCACATGAAGCTTATTTTTGAATTGCCATCAGGACACAAATTCCTATATTTTATCAACCCAATTCAGAGTGCATACATATGCATACAAATGTCACTTGCCCCTGACTTATAATTAATCCACAGTAAGCATATTATAAACACATAAACTAAAGGGCATTAGCAATAAACACACACACAGAACTACACCTTGTCAGGGACTATTTGATTTCCCTGTGGCTTTTTAATGGCTTTAGCTGGAAACTAAAATATGATTTGAAGACAATCATTAGTTACTCTGTCCAAAAAGAAGAAAATAAATCTGGGAACAACTACTACTTCAACTGCAGACAAGTAGGCTCGTGGAAGCCTGGAAGCTGCTCATCAATCGAGGAAACAGTATCAGGAGAGCTGAGCTGCCCCTAGTGTGATTTCTGAAACTCAACAATAAAGGGCTACTCGCCACACAGCTGCCAGTGCTGTTAGGTATTGTTGAATCGGTTCCAATTCCCAGCAGTCCTACGTATACGGAAGGAAACACTGCCTGGTCCTGGACCATCCTCACAATGGCTGTTACGTTGGACCCCACTGTTGCAGCCACTTTGTCAGTCCACCTTGTAGAGCACCGACTTCTTTCCTAAGCATCATGTCCTTTTCCAGGGACTAGTCTCCCCGACCACATGTCTACACAGATAGGCGGGTCAAACTCCAAGGCACCCAAGAAAACACTGCGCTATCAGTGCATGCTCACACTCAGATGAAGAACAAAATCAATATACTGTAAAAAATGTTCTTCTAAAAATTACTGAGAGGATTAGAAATTAAAGGCCCTCAGAATAGTCCTTGAACTCTCTCTCTCAGACATTCTGAGAGGGAACAAAAATCATTTTAACGAAACCTATCTGGATCTTTAGCTTAAAAAGAATAGAAGTGAAGAAAACCTAACTGTCATAATCATCATCATTAGTGATTTTAAGATTAGTTAAATGTATTTCATAATTTTAAGTTACCTGTACTTGTAGAAATTTAGGTAAAGTACACTGAAACCTCTATGACAAGTTCCCAACCCAAAACCAAACCAACTGCTAACGAGTTGAGACTCCTAGTGAACCCTTACTAGGAGTACCTCCTAGTATACTCCTAGTGAACCCTTACTAAGAGTGCCTCCTAGTGTACTCCTAGTGTACCCTTACAGGAGTGCCTCCTAGTGTACCCTTACCAGGAGTGCCTCCTAGTGTACTCCTAGTGTACCCTTACCAGGAGTGCCTCCTAGTGTACTCCTAGTGTACCCTTACTAGGAGTGCCTCCTAGTGTACTCCTAGTGTACCCTTACCATGAGTGTCTCCTAGTGTACTCCTAGTGTACCCTTACCAGGAGTGCCTCCTAGTGTACTCCTAGTGTACCCTTACCAGGAGTGCCTCCTAGTGTACCCTTACCAGGAGTGCCTCCTAGTGTACCCTTACCAGGAGTACCTCCTAGTGTACTCCTAGTGTACCCTTACCAGGAGTGCCTCCTAGTGTACTCCTAGTGTACCCTTACCAGGAGTACCTCCTAGTGTACTCCTAGTGTACCCTTACTAAGAGTGCCTCCTAGTGTACTCCTAGTGAACCCTTACTAGGAGTGCCTCCTAGTGTACTCCTAGTA